ACACTTCCCATTGTTCTGTTATAAACAGAGACAACTTTGGGCACTTCATTGTCTTGTCCTCTGCTTTTTGCATGATTTTCCATTTTTTAAAACAAAGGTTATACCAATTTTGAAAGAATTTTCAATAGATCAGAAATGGATTGTAAAGAACATGTACTATATGATGGACGTGTGTCTGGTAATTAGATTTTATCAATTTCATTCGTTATTTCTATTATTTTTTTTCATTAATTTTGTTAAATTAAAAAATAAACATAATTTGAAATTTATTTCCCGGAAAAAAAAGTAGTCTCATGGCATTGTTTCTCTAATACGTTGTAAAAATATAGTGTATCAAGACATAAAAAATTAATAGTAAATCATTTTGTATGTATGTGTTACTTGTGCATATTGAAGCTGACCTGGGTAAAGCCTGTGTACTAAGAAGATTAACTGTTCTGCGGTCTGACCATAGTACAGCAATTAGAGATCCTTGCATCAATACTTTAGTACTTCCCTTGGGAAGTTTTAGGTTTCGATACTATCTTCGCTTTCCCCGTCTCCTTACACATATAGTTTCAGTAGAGTATGATTTCAGATAAAAGCTTTGGGCTCGTGAAGAAACTGTCAAAAGTAACGTGATGATGTATCTCCAAGTGTGGCTGTACTAAGTTCATTACAGTATGGTACCCCAGGCCGTTTGGATATTGCACTACATTCTGTGACTTACGGTCAAGGAACAGTAAATGGGCTATGTCACAGATTTTGATATACTTTTGCATATACATTGTAACTGTGGCTCGTTGATTTATATCTGAAAATCGAAAAAAATAATACCTTAAGTTTATCTCTTTTATTTTCTAAAATATTACCGATTGCATTCTTTCAAAATAGGTGAACATTTGTATAGGAAGCACATGAAATCCACGAAAAACGTTCTTAAATTTACCTTAAAAACATAAAATTTTCAATTTTTACTTCATAGTTTTTTTCTGAAAATGTATGTTATTGATACTAAAATTTCCGTTTTAATGATATAAAATAATCATATGATCACCGACTTCGTTTTTTGTGTATTAACCAATCCGTTACCTTGTAGGTAGTGAAAAACGTCAAAAATCAACGTTTTACGGTCTACAACGCGGCGACGTTACGATTATTTCATCGTTTTTTGGTATTTTTTCACCTAGTACACTACTTTGATTGATGTATACTGTAAAAACGAAGTCGGTGACCCTATTATTATTTTACATCATAGAAACGGAAATTTTTGTACCGAGAACAATGGCATATTGTTTTTTAAGAAAAATCTATGGAGTAAAAATTGGAAATTTGATGATTTATAGACAAATTTAAGAACGTTTTTCGTCGATTTTATGTGCTTTCTACACAAATGAGCACCTATTTTGAAAGAATTCAATCAATATTATTTTAGAAAAAAAAGAGATCAATGCATTATTTTTTCGATTCTCCGATACAGTTCAACGAGCCAAAGGTGTGTGCCAAATTTAAGGAAAATATGTGACATAGCCCATTTACTGTAACTTTACCTTAAATTAGAAATGCTTATTATGCTTATGTTCTTTTTATCATACAGAAAGAAAAAAACATTTATGAGGCTTATAAGGTACAGAAGTTCACTTGTATTAAAACATTAGTGAGATCGTCTCAAATAGGAATAAATCAGTGATTCAATTAATAAAACAATATCAAACAACACGAATCCTTATTTCAAAAAAAAAAAGATAGATACAGATGATAAAGTCAATGAATATTTTTCTTGACAAAGAAATTACATTTAATTACATTTAGTGACTGAGTGAACATTACCAACACAATGGTGACTGCTGTACCCCAATTTTTGACATTTTTACCTATTGTGTCCGTTTGTTTTGTTCACAAATCGTTGTCAATATAATGGAATTTTATGCGACTGTCATACAAGTGAGAAGTTTATCTAGCTATAAAACCAGGTTTAATCCACCATTGTCTACATAAGAAAATGCCTGTACCAAGTCAGGAATATGACAGTTGTTATCCATTCGTTTGATGTGTATGAGCTTTTGATTTTGCCATTTGATTAGGGACTTTCCGTTTTGAATTTTCCTCGGAGTTCAGTATTTTTGTGATTTTACTTTTTACATGTACTTGATACACGATACCTTCAGTTACTGAATTACAATTATTAGAAAGTGTAAGTTATTAACTTCTTTTAAGTTTTACTGTTTTATTTGTAGCGTTTTGAGGACATTTTTATTTTTTCGTCATCTTTCAGTTTCTGTTTGCGATTACTTTAAGGTGTGTGTCTTTTTGTAGGCCATGTATTAAATCATATGATGACGACCTTTGAATCCTAAATTATCAGTTTATCTTTGAATGGATCTCCTCTTTCTTCAGCAGACTCAACTTTTGAAGGTTTGGCAAGACTTCAAAAGGTTCCGATTAATAGTATAAAGCCCCTAAAGTATTTAAATTTGAAAGATACAACAAATACTCACACTTTCGGGTTTTTAATTCATTAAATATTTGTACCTGTCTGCCTTTGTACACCACTATTTGATATTTGATGGGTGTAACCGGTGTCTGATTCTAATAGAGCAGAGGCCGATTTAGAGTGGGGCCAAGGGCCCCCCCCCCCCCCCCACCTTTGTGTGAAAAATTGGTTGATTATATAGGGAATCACTGAAGCTCGACTCGAGCGGACCCCCTCTTAGGTAGTCAGTGGGCCTCCACGTATGAAAATTTCTGGATCCGCCACTGTAGAGTCGAAAGTTTAATGCACCACCGGTGTGCCTTTTTGTTGGCCATGTATTGAACCATATGAAGACGACATTTGAATCCTACCATCCTTTCGTCTACTGTGCTATATCTTGTTAGTCTAAATGTCAGAGATATATGACAACGGGTTCACACATAACGAAAAAAGGCAAACTTTAAACGCATTTGAAAACAGTTTTGTAGAGTGTTTCGTCATACATTGTAATGTGTGTTGTTACCGAATCAAAAAAATGAAGTTTTACCTTAAGGTGGTACCCAACACCTTGACTAATATTAATTTGGCTCGTTTAATTTTCATAAAATTTTGACAAAATGTTTACTTTGACCCTTTGACAAAAATATAAAAATTTCAAAAAATTTGAACCAACCACTTTATCAGAAAAATTTCATTGGTTATATAGCAGTTTGACACTAATTTTGATCATTGAGAAGCTTAATATTTCCTTAACAATACAACGTGATTAAAACGTTTAGCTGATTTTTACAGAGTTATCTCCCTGTAGTGTTAGGTACCACCTTAAATGCAAAGAGTAACTTTTCTATTGTTCTATACGTTACAGTTGTCCCAATGTAACAATCTAGAATCAATCTAGTACAAATGAGTCAAATAAGAGTATGATTGAAAGCGAGTAGTTTTAGTTATTCCTCCAGCTTTTAAAAACTTGGTAAATTCTTATGTAAATCTATATTTATATATCATACTGAGAAAATTAGTACCAAAATAGTTCGCATAAACATTATGATTGTGTTTGTACTACTAGTATATCGAAAATAAATATATTTAGCACATCTTCGTCATCCGTTAACATTTCTCAATCAATGTCAGAGCCGCTGTCTTCTGACCAAGACGCCATGATTGCAGAATAATGAAGTCATACGTTATAATTACAATTTTGTCTGGAAACCGTTAAATACCCATTAGAATTCCAGGTTTTGTCGAACAAAACGGACAACTCCATATAGAATACGCTTGCCTATGTCTTACCGTATAATATATTATTTTATCCATCTTTATCATTTTTGTATTCAGACGTCACGCAAATAAATTCATCAGCCCTTTTATATGAATTAAGTTTGTATTATGAAAAGGTTTCTCGTAAGCAATCGGAACAACATACAACACAATAGATATATACGGAAATAAAAGGATAACAGAATAAATGTATGAATTTATTTTTTTTATATAAAAAATTCCTCAAAATTTAATTCGTATGTAAACGAAAAGTTGATTCCATATAACGTTCAACATACAAATGACTACAGTTTCTGTAAACTTTGCCGTGTCTTTTCTTCTTAAGTTATTTTACTGAGTACCAAAAACTGCCTTTATTTAGTTTACGTATAAAATTGAGAATGGAAATGGGGAATGCGTCAAAGAGACAACAACCCGACCATAGAGCAGACAACAGCCGAAGGCCACCAATGGGTCTTCAATGCAGCGAGAAACTCCCGCACCCGGAGGCGTCCTTCAGCTGGCCCCTAAACAAATATGTATACTAGTTCAGTGATAATGGACGTCATACTAAACTCCAAATTATACACAGGAAACTAAAATTAAAAATGATACAAGATTAACAAAGGCCAGAGGCTCCTGACTTGTGACAGGCGCAAAAATGCGACGGGGTTAAACATGTTTTTTTGAGATCTCAACCCTCCCCCTATACCTCTAGCCAATGTAGAAAAAACAAACGCAAAACAGTACGCACAGTAAAACTCAGTATAAGAGAAGTCCGAGTCCGACGTCAGAATAGGAAAAATGGAAATAAACAAAATAACAACAATACATAAATAACAACAGACTACTAGCAGTTACTGACATGCCAGCTCCGGACCTCAATTAAACTGATTGAAAGATTATGTCTTCATCATATGAATATCAGGCACAATCCCTCCTGTTAGGGGTTTAGTATTATACCGTCATAAAATATATGAGAAGAGCATAACCCGTGTCATGCCAACAACTGGTTTTAGAATAAATGTGTTTAATTCCGATGCAAAGACCCTATAAATGAATCAATATTAAAGCCAAAATATGCAATCTTTAATGACCTGACAACAGTATCGTATTATACATGTATTTGTTTGAGGGCCTCAATGAAAATTATACTAGTTCTAATTGAGTTACCCTCTTTGAATAAAGAATTTATTATAATTATTACTTTATTCGCGCCATAATCTTCTTTTTCGCGCCGTCTTTAGTCGTCTTCAGTACCCGTCTATATTGTGACGTTAACAATGGACCATTGACGTTCTACACAAAAAACAACTTTAGTATGTAAAAGCCATAAATGTCCCTTTGGCAGCAAGAGGACGGCTAGACGAACGACAAGGTAAGATGGTAGACTTGTATGCTCTGTGGCAATTTATTTTCTAGAGAATTTTCAATAACAGGTATTGAAGCAAAAGTATTAAAATATACTTTAAATCTTTCGAATCAGTGGCGTAATATACAAACAGTTTTTTTATTGATATTTTGCGTAAAATACTAGGCAAAAATAGAAACGTTACATGTTTGTAATATCATTTATATTCTTTATAACAAAAAATTGATAACAATAAGTTAATGAAATAGTTAGTTAACATCATTTTGAAGAGAACAATAACAAGTTTCTCTATATTGGAAACAATATTGCACATTTCCGGACAATTTTAGAAGGACGAGTACACATGTACAAAATTCAAGTTCACATGTCAATACCGTGTATGACCACCTCTTGCATTTATGACTGCCTGACACCACCGTTGCAATGGATCAATAAGACGTCGAATGAAGTCTTGAGGGATGTTGTTTAATTTCCTGAAAAGTGCTATTCGGAGCTGGGCGAGCGTTTCCGATGGATTTTGGCTATTTCTGATACGTCGTCCAAGTTCGTCCAAAAGATGTTCGATTGGCGATAAATCTCGAGACATTGCTGACCATGGCAACACACGGAAGTTGTCCTGCTGAAAAACGTGGTTGAAACGATGCATTCGGAGAAACAGGAGAACAAATGGAGCCAGAACTTGGTCCCTATACCTGGTTGCATCTATAGGTTACCATCAATAATTTTGAGATCGGTACGTTCCTGGTAGGTAATTCCGCCACCACCAAATCGCTCTGTTTCCTGTACGCACACATCAGAAAATCGTGCATTGCGCCTCCGGTAGACCCTGGCTCTGCCGTCGCTAAATTTCAAGTTGATTTTCGATTCATCGGTAAAAAGAACCTGTCTCCATGTTAGCCTATTCCATCGAATCCGTACCCGAGTCCATTGAAGTCGCGTCATCCTGTGAATCTGCGTAAGGATAGGTCCCTTCAACGGACGACGAACTCTTAGACCAACTTGACGCAATCGTTTACGAACTGTTTGGGCATATATTCTGTTGTTATTTCTTCCATGATGTTGTCGTGCTGTTTGTGACGCGTTTACACATCGATTCCAGAGATGAATAATACGGATGTGCCTGTCTTGACGTTACGTCGTTTCACATGGCCTGCCACTTCGAGGAGGATCATTTGTCGTGCAAGTATCTCTTCGACGAGTCTTCAGCCTTGCAATAGTCATTCTAGAGACATTAAAATGATTTGCAATCTGCATTTGAGTCATTCCTGCTGCCAACATCCCAATAGCTCGTTCTCTCTCATTTTGGCGTAGACGGGGCATTGACTTACGTGTAACTTTTCAACTTTTCAATGCAACCTTTTTTTTAACAATAGTGTTTGACACAATTAATGACCAAAAGGACAACTCGATTCCATCTCTTTACAGATAAATTTTTGAATAAATGTGTATTTGTTTGAAATTAGAAAATGACGTTTCGTCATATCCGAATTTTTTACAAATGAGTAAATTTGATAGATAAATCATTCAGGTCACTAGTTTTAATCTTGAAAATATTTGAAATTAATATATGTATTTTTTTTAATTAAAAACCAATGTAACGTTTCTTGTTTTGCCTAGTATATTATCTTATCCAGTGTTTCTTTTTTTTTTTACAGCTCAAATATTTACTGTTGGCTGTTAACAAAAGTATGAAATTTGGTAAAATGCTATACTGTGCTACTAGTTTGATATTCGGATGTATTATGTTGTCGTCTGCTTGCAAACTTGCCATTTCCAATTATAAAGGGAAACTGGTCACTAATCAAATGCTACAAAAGAGAATCCTGAAAATCGAGATCACGTTGAAAGACACACTTGAAAGACAATCAAAGATGCTCAAAACAGTTATGGAAAAGGCACATAAAGGTACGGAAAAATTTAATTAATGGAATATGAATCGCCTGCCATTTGTATTTACTTTCAGAAATTCAATGATTTCTTTTTTATTGGGATAATGTTTAATTGACTCCAAATTTCAGTTTTATTGCAGATAGTAAACTAGTTAAAGAAATTAACCAAAGTCTAAAAATATCATTTTGCCATACAAGGACGTATATTAGATGTTAGTGATACATGTACGTCCTTGGCCATACCTGGAACATAATATATTGGTATAATAGTCCAAGGCCATACCAAATAAAATTGTTGTTGGTAGCAGATTTATCACAATCTTTTTATTCTATTGTAGAGACACCGGTCTATTTTTTGTGTTTTATAGACACTTTTCTACTTTTGAAGATTGTATGTTTTCTCTACTATATGTCTTTTTCTTTTGGTTATTGTGCGACCCCTATATAGAATAGAATATTTCAGAAATGACTGTAATATTTTCTGTCTATGAAGAAATAACATTAAAAACTGCCTTTATTTAGTTTACGTATACATATATATACATAGCGGGTTATTTTAAAGTACTAGTGTGCACCACATTTTTGATGTTATTTCGAAAAGACAGAAAAAATATTACAGTAATTTCTTATAATTTAATTCTAAATTCCATTTTAAGGATGTTCGCTAGCGCTACTCTGTTTCAGAATAAAAAGCTTTATAAAAGACTGTTATAAATTGATAGTATATAAATCATGAAAAAACGTTATCGTACTTCACGGTCACGTGACAAAATTATGTCTATGTGCTGATACACTCACTGTCAGCCAATCGGAAGACAAATTAAATTATAATAGAATAGAATATGTTCATTTCCTAAATCACAGGGCCCGTAAAGGGCATTAAATCAGTTACAATTGATTGACATAATTGACATAATTACTCTAAATATCAGCACAGAAATGTTAAATCTGCAAATTTGTGGACGCAATTTTTTTGTTCTTCCGGGATTCGAACTCATGCTATTTGGATACCGAGACAACACCGCCTGCACTATGTCCATCGTTCTAGACCACTCGGCCACCCGTCTGAACTATATATAAAGAAAACATAAAAACATGTCATAAAACCTATCTTTCCATATTTTATTTCAAAATTCATAGATTTCTTTTTATGCACAAAAATGTGTTTTTTTCATGAACAATCTAAGCAAATTTGGGCAATTTTGAACGACTCGTAGCTAGAAAAATAGCACGGTGACCCATACTTTTTATAACATTTTTGAAAAAAAGCATAGTAAAATCTTCATTTTGGCAAAGTATAAGAAAATTATATCTGAGGAAAAATATACCGATGATCTACCTTAATATAGCCATGGAAGTATACATATGGTCATTGTAATAAAAAAAAATCAGGTTTAATATACTCCTCGATGTTTGACAAGGATTGTAAATTACTACATGTATTTGCGGAAATAGATTGAAGGACTACCTTCTCCAAAAAATATAGTTATAAATAACTCATTAAAAGTTAAAATAAGTAACTCATATTAAAAGTTAAAGTATCAGGTGCACTACTTCGTGTCCCATCGTTCCATCTATAGAAGACTCGTTGCATGATTCTTGGAATTTCGTCAATTCGTTTTAAAAAAAGTCGCGGCAATCTGTATTGATAAGCTAAGTTAGAGGGTAGCAAAAATGAGGTTTGATAAGATACCTCGATGTTTGGCAAATTACTACCGATATGTGATTTGCGGGAATAGATTAGCAATTGTTTAAGTACATATAATACCAGTAATTTCAAGATAAATATTATTTAGTCATAATCATTTTATCAGATATCCGTTTGTCATTTTTATTTTTGGAAAACGTATGAGTTTTCTAAGGACGACTAAAAAAAATATAGTTATACATGGCAAAGTCCTTTTTTTTTCTTTTTTTTTTTTAATATGTTAAACCCCTCCCCTTAATAAATCCGATTAAAAGTTAAAGTATCAGCTAGTGCACAACTTCGTATTCAATATATTGAAGAATCATTTCAAGTTTCTGTGAATTCGATCAATTCATTTTCAAGAGTATTCTGTATGCATAAGGCAAGTTAGATTGTCTAGCTGACAGAGGCCTAGAGCGTGTTTGGTGACAAAATAGGACGATATGTTATTAGCAAAACACACACACACACACACACACACAAACACAAAAAACCCATTATTTTTCTCAAAAACAGTATCCGTATTCAACGGACAGGCGATGCAAATTAAAACAGATTTTTTTATTTGCGTAGGGGACATGAACTATACTGTACTGGTCCTGTTATTCCTGTTTCCTTCTGTCTATCACACGACCGTTTAAAACAACAAAACAACAACTTTTAAAATTATATTCTTAACCTTTTGAAAAAAAAGAAGACAAATATAAGACTATATACTGATCTCAATATCATGAAATCGTCCGACCTTAAAGCAATTCTTTCTTCTCCCTGTATACTAGTTTGATCAACATTGACTTGTAATAATCTGAGATAACTACAACACATATGCATGATAGAAGTTTCCGTTATGATAAAGAAATATTTTATACTTTATCTTTTCTGTGATTTTTCTTTCTCTTTTTTTTTTCTTTGTTAGAATTTCTTCTAATAAAAAGAAATAAATGACTATATGATATTAGGCACTAGATGATTAATTTAAGGATAATCTTACTAAATTTTGTAAAAGAAAATAAAGAATGATATGACATGTCAAGTTAACAGATACTTAACGATTTTGCGGCATCGCACTAAAAACGTTTGAAGTCAGTTTGTTGGAGTTCTGTCAATATAATACATCCCCGCTTGGACATAATATAGTGTTAGGATACCATTTTCAGAATCATGTAATTATATAAACGACTTTTTGTATTAAGGATGCTTGCTTGTCATGTTTTGGAATTTTTGTCAGATTTTCGAAATCCTCTGGTTTTATCCATTTGAATGCCTTAAAATATTTGACCATGGACCCCCATTTTTCTTTTTATAAATCTTTTACATGTATAAGTATAAGCCATTTGTAAAAGTCTTATAAAATCTTATTTATTTTTTAATAGTTTTTGAGAACTTTAACTGGTCAATGATAAAGCTATGAAAAATCAAGTGAGATCATTTTCCCGCCAAAATTCCAATGGCTAATATCTCGAAAACAAGCACATTGACCCCTATATTTTTTTGGCTTTTTTTATTCCTCAACTAATCCCCTATCAATATATACTAGTGTTATGGAAAGCTATTTATTTTGGAACTGAGCAGCGAACTTCCTTAAGGATGTTCGCTACTATTGTTTTTTACTTTTTGTCAGATATTCGAAATCCTCGACTAGTTTTATCCATGTTAGCTGGGACTATTATACTAATAGTTAGTATAATAGTCCCAGATGTTAGTGCCAATAAAAATTTTGTCCGCTAACCCTTACTTTTCTTTTCATAATTTTATCACATATTGTCAAAAAGCCATTTTTGAAAATCTTATATAATCCTTGTTATTTTTTCATAGTTTTTGAAAGAAAAAAGGTGCCAATCTGTATCTGTATCTGTATCTTTATATTTTCTGCTAATATAGGCACACCCTCAGTATGAAGTCAATGAATAATATCCGTTCACCAGTAGAATGTTATAAGTTAAAAGTATCCAATCACCAATAGAATATATATTACGATGTACACTATATACAATTGTCGGTATATTCCTACACCAATATCACACACGTTCTTATTTATAAAATCTAAAAATAAGTCTATAAATAGCAAAAGTTTTGCAGTCCACACACAACCATTTTCTTAAGTAAAACTATTAGCTTAAATTATTTTTTCTAGATCTTTTCTTACCTAAATTTAAAAGTTTGTATCTATGTACATGGAGCTTATATATTAATGTTCTATATGGGTGTTAATAAAAGTATATAGTTCGCTGGTTAGAGAGTTATCACAGTAGTTCACTAAGTGGTATGGGTTGATAATTACATGGATGTTAAATATATGAAAAATCTAGAGAACAGTTCCCGCCAAATTTTCAATGTCTTATATCTCGAAAACAACCACACGGATCCTTAGTTTTTTTCTGCTTTTTTTAGTTCCTTTATTTATATACTATCAATTTATATAAATTGAAAAGCTTGTTATTTTAAAACAGAGTAGCGAACATCCTTAAATAAATTTAGGATTGGATGAACAGAGAAGCAAAACACTATTAATAATATTGAATTCGTAATCGAAGATGAGAATGCAATCAAAATCTGATTATAAATGAATGCATATTGATCTGGTCATCAATATATAATCACAATTAAAAGCCATTTGTTCAGAGAACAATTGAAGGTCTTTCCACATTAAATTTCTAAATAATTAAAAAGGAGCTACTTGTGGTTTACTCGAAGTAACTATTTGTATCTAATTATAGATTTCTTCATACTGATTTAAAAAATATTATATATATAATTTAGTCTGAATAAATGGAGATAATTTGCTAGTTCCGGTTTAGAAAATGTCACTTCCGGTCTGATATGATAGCTTTAGTCACACAGATTCAAAAAATATATAGTTTCTATTTACTTTTGCTTGAAGTTGTAACACTACTAATTCGAGCCCGGCCAGAAAGCACATACCAGAAAGTTCTACATATCTAACACAATAGTTCCTACGCATGGGTGTAACTTTCAAAATTTGAAAAAATATTTAGGTAATTTTGGTATCAAATGAAAGCTGAATGACTGGTGATCATTGTAAAACACTTTTTTATTTATAATTTTGAATAATAAAAAAATGCATGAAATTTTAAAAGGAGGGTACAGTTTGCCTGTTTGTCAGATCTGAAGTACCTGATTTGGTATATCCGACATTAAGGGAACCAGTTCTCTCTTTCATGGCATTTAAAGTATGTTGATTTTTTCAGTACACGACATCATAAAGTGTTGCTTTGACATGCAATGATTGTCACTTTATTTGAACTTAAAACAAAAGAGCTTGAAATTGAGGAATTTAACATAGAAAGCAATGGGGCAATGAATTAGTG